GCTGAAGCCAGGAACTACAACTGGGTCTCGGCATGGGCCCACACACTTAGAGTATTCTCCACTGCCTTTCCAGGCCATTAGCATGGAGCTGGACTGGAAGTGGAGCAGTCAGGACACAAACTGGTGCCCATGGGGGATCCTGGTTTCACAGGCGGTAGCTTTACCCACTACCCCACAATGCTGTTCCCTGCTGAGTTTCATTCTTTAATCCATTCAGCCAGTCTGTATCTTTTAATTGGAGAATTTAGACCATTTATATTCAGGGTTATTATTGAAAAGTAATGGTTTAGTCCTGCAATTTTCCATAAATATTCCTATTGTTTGTTTTGAATCTCCTTTGTCCTTTTACCAGGTGTTTTTCTGACTTTCACATTGTTTCATGATGTTGATTATCTTTCTCTGTTTCTGCATGTAGTACATCCTTTCATCCTTTTATATCATTTGTAAGATTGACCAGGTGGTGACAAATATTTTCAATTTTTGCTCTTCTTGGAAGGTATTTATTTCACCTTCATTTATGAATGAGAGCATGGCTGGGTAGAGTATTCTGGGTTAAGTTTTTTCTTTTAATACTTGGACTATATCTCTGCATTGTCTCCTGGCATGTAAGGTTTCTGTTGAGAAATCTGTCAATCTGATGGGAGCTCATTTAAAGGTAATGTGACATTTTTCTCTTGCACATTTAAGGTATTTTCTTTATGTTTTACTATTGAAAGTTTGACTCCAATGTGTCGTGGTGAACATCATTTCTGTTCAGGCCTATTTGGGGTTCTATGTGCTTACTGTATTTGGATGTCCATATCTTTCTCCAAATTGGGGAAATAAATTTTCTGCTGTTATTTCACTGAATAATTTTTCTTTTATTGTAAAGATTTATTTATTTATTTGAAAACCAGTTACAGAGAGTGAGGGGGAGACACAGAGAAATCTTCCATTAGCTGGTTCACTCCCCAGATGGCTGCAATGGCTAGGGCTATGCCATGCTAAAGCCAGGAGCCAGGAGCCAGGAGCTTCTTCTGGGTCTCTCATGTCAGTGGCAGTGACACAAGCTCTTGGGCCATCTTCTGCTGCTTTTCCCAGGCCATTAGTAGGATGCTGCATTGGAAGTAGAGCAATCAGGATATGAATTGATGCCCTTATGGAAAACTGGTGTTGCAGGTGGCAGTGTTACCTGGTGTGCCACAATGCCAGCACTCCAAATAAGTTTTATAAGCTGTTATTTCTTTACCCCCATACCATCAGGAACTCATAAGACTCAAATATTTTTGTTGTTTGATGTTATCCCATAGATTCCAAACATTGTTTTTAATCTTTGTACATTTTTTTTGTCTGAGATATTGCAAAAGACCTGTCTTCTAGATTATTCTTTCTTCTGCCTCACCAATTATGTTATTATGCCTTACCAATTATGCCTTACCAATTATGTAAGGCTATCTAGTGTATTTTTTATTAGTTATTTAATTCTTCATTTCTAATATTTGTTTCATTTTCCTTCAATATTTCTATCTCTTTGCTGAATTTCTCATCCATATCATGTGAATTTCCTTGTTTCATGTAATGGTTTATCTGTGTTTTTGAGTAATTTTACAATCATTCTTTTGAATTCCTTCTCAGGCATTTTCTCAATCTCCTTATCATCACAGTCAAATATTAATGTATTATTATGTTCCTTTTGGGGAGTTATATTGCCTGTGTTGTTCATATTTCTTATATTTCTATGTTTATTTTTATGTACCTGGACAATCATTTGTTAGTATTCTGCTCTGAAGGTTTTGTTCTTGGAAGTGTGCCTGATGCTTACTCTAGAGTTCCAGAGGTGTGTGCTGGGTGGGACCAGGGAGCTCTGGCCACCATTTGTGGGTGGGGAAATAGTCCAGGGTGATACCCAAGTTGGGCCTGATGGAGCTTCTCTGATTACAGTCACTTGGGGGAGATGATGTTGGTGCTGGCTGGTGTGTTCATGGACCCAGCCGTTCTCTGTGCTGAGGTGAACCAGGTGATTCACTGCCTAGAGCGAGCTCATGGTGCCATTACAGACCACCTGCATGGGCATGTGAATGATGAAGAGCCTTGAAGTGTTCTGTAGTGTGACACCCAAGCCTTCTGCAAGATTTGTATCCAGCATTCAGGGAGCTCTGAGTTTCTGGAGTCAGACCAGGTGTGTGTCCGAGAAACCCAGCCACAACCCACATCCCTCTCAGCTCCATGGCCCATGCCCAGAGCTTCTACAATCTTGAGGTACAGGGAGTCTGCTCTCTGCCCTATGTGCTGCCACAACCCTGAATCAAACTTCTTAGTCTTCTCCAAATCAGACAGAGATTGTTTATAACTCCACCTCAGGAAATTGATTCTGGTGTTTTGGTGGTGGTGGTGGTGGGGAGGCAGGAAAGCAAAGAGACCTCCCTTCGTGGAACAAAGTGGAAGCCTTGATGCCTGCCAGCTCCACAGGCCAGACTCCAAGTCAGCAAGGAATGTGGAATTCTACCTCAATCAAAACTGCCAGTGGCCCATGCTATGGCAGCCTCCTTTCACCTTGCCCTGGGAAGATGGTGCTTCCCACTGGATGCCAGCCTAAGGAGTAATTGGAGTACAGCAGGCTTTTATATGTCTGTCTTCTCTCCTGCTGCTCTGTGAGACTCTAAGCTGTTGTGTTCATTCTCCACTGAGAATTTCTCTCAGTCAGTCCTCTGAGAACATGTTCCTTCCTTTGTTTTTCTGGTATTTATATGTGTCTGAAATTAGTGCATCTTCTCACTATTCTGTCTTTGTCGATTCTATCAAATTATAGTTCTCCAAGGTAATATTTTTCTATCCCCAAAAATATCAATGCATACATACAATTAGGCACTAAGTAGTACCTATTATGTTGCAAAGATGTTAGCGACAGACATTGGGCAATAATTCTTTTTGATGTGAAGACACATGTTACATGACATCTATTCCATTTATTCTGTTTACTTCTTCTTCTTTTTTTTTTGACAGGCAGAGTGGACAGTGTGAGAGAGAGAGAGACAGAGAGAAAGGTCTTCCTTTGCCGTTGGTTCACCCTCCAATGGCCGCCGCGGCTGGCGTGCTGCGCTGATCCGAAGCCGGGAGCCAGGTGCTTCTCCTGGTCTCCCATGGGGTGCAGGGCCCAAGTACTTGGGCCATCCTCCACTGCACTCCCTGGCCACAGCAGAGAGCTGGCCTGGAAGAGGGGCAACCAGGACAGAATCCGGCGCCCCGACTGGGACTAGAAGCTGGTGTGCCAGCGCCACTAGGTGGAGGATTAGCCTAGTGAGCCGTGGCGCTGGCCCCTGTTTACTTCTAATATGATTGAAGACTTGGTTCCAAAAGAAGATGTTATTTTTTTAAAAAAGTTTTCTTCCATTTTTTTTTCAGGATAGGGAAATGACTGAATTATAATTTCAATTTCTAGAAACTCGAACCATTAATTTTTCTTAATTCAGAATAAGAACAAATGACTAAGAGAGAGGGTAGTGTAAGGGAGTGCAACGAGTGTGATTTATACATAATGCTTTCCTTTGGCAGTTTATTTTCAGAATAATTTTTAAGATACATCTTTCTCTTCCCTCTCCCATTCCCACCACCATGTTCAACAGGGATCACATTTCAGTTAATTTTCAACACTTAAGAATAACTGTGCATCAATTACAGATCTAAACCAGTCATATTAAGTAGAACAGATTAAAAAAACTACTAAGAGGGATAATGTATTAAGTTGTTCATTAACAGTCAGGGCTATGCTGATCAAGCCACCAAGTGGTGGAGTTGGAAGCATACCAGGGGATTCCAATTCAATCCCATCGAGGTGGCATGTACCAATGCCATCTCACTGTTCCAGGTGATCAATTTCAGTTCACAGTTGGTCATGGTGAAGGGACTGGGAGTCAAAGGAAGCACATAGACAAGTCTAGTACCTGCTAACGCTAACTGATGGAGTAAATAAAAGGGAGAGTGATCCAACATGGGAAGTGAGATACTCAGCAGACTCATAGAATGGCAGATGTCCTAAATAGCACTCTGGCCTCAGAATCAGCCCTAAAGGCATTCGGAGCTGGCTGAAAAGCTCATGAGAGTATTTCAGGCATGGAAAGCCAAGACACTCTGGCAAAAGATCTCTGCGAGTGAGATCCCAGTGGAAAGAACAGGGCATCAAAGAAGGAGGTACCTTTCTCTGAAGGGAGGAGAGAACTTCCACTTTGACTATGACCTTGTCTAAACAAGATAAGAGTCAGAGAACTCAGAGGGCTTCCATAGCCTTGGAAACTCATGACTGGAGCATAGGGAGATTACTGATGCCATAGACAGGAGTGTCAATTGGTAAAGTCAACAACAGGAGTCACTGTGCACTTACTCCTCATGTAGGATCTCTATCCTTAATGTGCTGTGCATTGAGATTTAATGCTATAACGAGTACTCAAACAATATATTTCACTTTGTATTTCTATGGGGGTGCAAACTGTTGAAATCCTTACTTAATGCATACTAAACTGATCCTCTGTAAAAAAAAAAAAAAAAGAAATTATCAATTCCCAACTTGACTCTCACTGGGATTAAACATGACAATAGGTCTGCTCTGATTTCATCATCATTTTTAAAAAAATCATCTATTATTTTTCACTTTATGTTTCTGTGTGGGAGCAAACTGTTGAAATCCATACTTAATGTATACTAAGCTGATCTTCTGTATATAAAGAGAATCGAAAATGAATCTTGATGTGAATGGAAGGGGAGAGGGAGTGAGAAAGGGGAGGGTTGTGGGTGGGAGGGACGGTATGGGGGGGAAGCCATTGTAATCCATAAGTCGTACTTTGGAAAATTATATGCATTAAATAAAAGTTTAAAAAAAAAAAGATACATCTTTCTTTTCTTCATGTGTAAAAATCCTCTAATGTAGCTAATTCATGTCCAATTTTATTCTTTTTATTTTGTAAATTTATTTTATTTTATTTTTTATTTATATAAAGAGAACAGTTTTCATGCATTTTGTAGATACAAAAAATGTGGAATGCATCACAAATTTGCATATCATCCTCATGCGGGGGCCATGCTAGTCTTCTCTGTAACGTTCCAATTTTAGTATGTGTTGCTGAAGGAAGCCCCAATTTTTATTTTTAACACTAAACTGTTAGTGATCTCAGAATCCACTTCTTTCAACTGCTCTCCCTCATGTTGTATATATACATATATATACACAGTATATATGTGTGTGTACATATGTATATGTATTTATATATGTATACATGTGTTTATATATATAAGTATATAATGTGTGTCTGTGTGTGTTTTTAGAATCTTGATATAGTCAAGAGTATGCCATGGGACATATACAGTAACCTCACTCTCATAATTTATGTCTTATCTCCCAAGATGCTCCTGAACCAGTCAAGTAACTGATATGTATTCCATGTCATTAATCTTTACATCAAGGGAAGAAGAAAAATCTTCTACCTCATATACATGGTTGAATACCATTTAAAAAACTAGATTTTATCATAATTACCCAGTTTCCATGAATAATGCTTCCATTACTGCTTGATTTAATCTATTTCTCTACAATTATTTGTTAGAACAGACATCATTCTAGAGGACAAGTTTCTGGTTTCTGAATACTCTAGAACCTTTCCCAGGCTACAATATCAGGCACAGAGCAAGCATGTGGCTGAAGTTTGAAAGAAAGAAAGAAACAGATGAAGAAAAATGTAAAATCTTGTAGAAAACTGTGTGTGTTTTAGTCATGAATTCAGGATGGTTATGAAACTATAAAACTACATAACTTTAATTTTTTATTTAATTTTTGCAAGTATATATAATCATACTATATGAAATTAGAAAGGTATTAATTTCCTAGAAATGCTATAATTAAGCTCATCCTAATTGACTATAACCTCACTTTCATTTGATTACATCTGCAAAAGCCCAATTTCCAAATAAGATCATTTCACAGTATGCGGTTAAGACTTGAACATATCTCTTCTATCCACAATTCTATCTATATAGATATAAGGGTATGTAAAAAATTTTCCTCTCATTGCTGTTCCCAGGTCACCTAGCTGCTCTCCTCAGAGGTCACCTATGTTCTTTTAATTCATTTTTAAGAATTTCAAGTAGTCTAAAAATGATATAAAGGAAAAGAGTCTCATTTTGTACTAGAAGAGTCAGTCTTGTTCTCATCTGTTTCATTCATTAAAACTTTCTGATTTTAGTTTTCAAATTTATCACATATCCTCGGCTGGGTTCAGGAATGGAGAAAAAAAGGTGAAACATTCAAATAGAAACTAAATATAGTGACCCTATATTAGTCATTGAATGAAACATACTCTATGTGCATGTAACTCATTTATTAAATGTCAGACATTGTGTGGGTAGGGCTTAATCACTCACTTGCTGGCTTAAAGTAGATTGTTGCTACTGATAAATCCTAGTAACGTTAAATCTTACAGTATTTGGTTGTGAGATTTCTTGCTTAAATGCTTGCTTTAAATAGTTTTGAAATGAATTTGTTGCATGTATATATTGTGAAAATGATACAGTTAAAATAAACTTTATTTTGAAAAACTGCTATGTTGAATTACATGAAATGTATGAAAAGGTAGTTGGATTCCATCTTCTTAATAAAAAGGTGTTAATATCTTGGACCTTCTAAAGATATGAAATACACACACGTACATGCACACACACACACACACATATATATAAACTATAGATACTGCCTCAGAGTGGCATAGTAAATGATTGGAGAAGCCTTACTATAAGCTATCAATAACTGTTTAACTTTGTTTTGCCTACCATTTTCCATAAATTAAAAAAAAATCTTGCATTACTATTGTTCCACATAATGCACTTTGAGAAGTGAAGCTCTTCAAGCCAGATTCAGAGTTAGAATTTTGAGTTAGAAGTCAAGCGGTAAGTTAGGACAGAAAAATAGAACTTTATGCTATCTGCTTCCACTAGGTGGTGACTTTCGTCTTTTGGGTTGCCATAGGAACCATTGATTTACTGTCAAAGGGGTGAGGGGGACAGAGTTAGGGAGAAAAGCCTATCTTTTGAGGCTTGAGTTCGGAGGTGAACTTACTAGACGAGCCCTTCAACAAGTTGCTTCATTTTTCTATGCCTAAATTTCTTCATCTAAACAGAAGGAAGGTGTAGTTCCTATTCCCAAAGAATTTACCATCTAATTGGGGGATGAGATTAGAAGACCGGCTATGGCCGTGGAGTCGCCAGAGACCCTGGTGAAAGATGGCCTCCTGTACCTGCAGCACGTCAAGTTCGGCAAGGTGCGACCCTGGCCGCCAGGCGGCCGCCTGGGACCAGTGGAGCCGGAGACCGCAGCCTGCGCCCCAGTCCCGCACCAAAGCTCTGGGAGGGAGGCCGGGTTGGGGAGTGGATGGAACCGGGGTCTTGGCCTGAGAGTGCTGCCTCTCTTAGGGATGGGGGAGCCACGCGTGGGGAAGGGTCTAGAACCAAACTCCTGCACAGGGTCAAAGCCTCGTGGCCACCTGAGCCACCTGAGCCACCTGGTAGGGGCCCCAGGGTCCCTGGAGGGCCGGGGACTGAGCTGGGGGAGACTCTCGAGGTGGAGTCCCACCTGCAGAAGGGGCTCCCCTCTTTACAGCAGGCCCTGCACCCGGGGCCGCGTGACTGCTGCTGCTGCCCAAGCAGATAAACGGTGGCTTCCTTTGCTCAACGCTATTTGCATGTTTCCATCCTGAAGCTCGGCCTCCCCCCAACCCCAGCCCATGGCCCAGGTGTCCTTGCTTTGGTTGAGTGAGGGAGAAACCGACACCAGGGCAGGGTCGGGTGGCCTGCCCTGAGAATCTATGGCAGAGACCTATGGTAATGGAAAAACTATGATTATTGCTTTAAGAGGCACGCAAAATGGATGGGGGTTTTAAAGGAGGGAGAAGCCAGCCAGGTGTGGACAAACAAGAAATGATTGTGGAGGAGTTGGCATTTAGGTGGGTGGGTCTACAAAGGTTAGTGAGATTTTAACATTTGGAGATCTGATATTGAGAGCAAGGCCCAAGGAATTGGGAAAGGAAAGACATTTACAGAACAGCGAGTGGCTTCATTTCTCCAGACAGTAGCGATTAAGCATCCATTTAAACTTTGTGACCTATGGGCTATAAGGGACCCAATGGTACTGAAAGTTTTAGCAGTGCTGATGTGGCTTTTGAGTAGATTAATGAATTTAATAATCACTGTGACACTGTTACCAAGTGAACAACCTTATACTTGAACAGAATTTAGCTTTTGCTGGATGATCTTAAAAATTTGATCATGGTACAAGGTGCATATTTTAAGCCAGCACAAGGGCCCCATACAAAGGAATATTTCCATAAATATTTCAGTGTTTCAAAATTATTTTCTAAGAAAGTAATTTGCAGGAAAAGTTTAGAGATAAATAATATGTTAACATTATTCAATGAAATAAAACAGGTTTTTTAAAATGAAGATTTATTTGACAGGGAGAGAGATTGAGATAGTGAGAGAGAGAGCTGTCTTCCATCTGCTGGTTTACTCCTCAAATGACAGCAAAAGCACGGAATTCCATCCAGATCTCCCACTTGTGTGGCGGGAGCCTAACTACTTGGGCTATCATCCATTGCCTTCTCAAGTGCACTAGCAGGGAGCTGGATTGGAAACGTAACAGCTAGAGCTCTGAAATGGTGCTCATATTGGATGGTAACATCAGAAGTGGTGGCTTAACCTGCTGCTCTACAGTGACGAACCCCCAAACAGATTTCTTTACTCATAAATTTCTGAGAAAGTTCATTGTGCTAACATGCTGTGTGAGGCCTGTAGTGAGAAATTAGTGGACCCTAAAGCCCTTTCCCCCCTTTGCTCATATTGGTATCAATCCAAAGATGTTTTCTTTCAGTGATCAAGGTCAGTGTTCTTATTACCTGCTTTTTGAAAAGGCAAATGTTATACTTCTCCTCTTGCTTTTGTTTATTCCCTTCTGGCATATCAGACTCTTGGTGAGGTGGGGTAAGACAGGCACTCAGTAGGGTAGGAGTAATGTGGGCTCCCTGGTGGTTCTGATGATAACCTGTCCACTCCTCCAGTCTCCCATTCCACACTTCCACTCTTTATGACCTGATTGAGGTTTTAGGAGCCATTCTGTCAGTCTTGTGAACAGTTCAGGCCCACTCTCCTTATGCTAACTGCTAAATTTTTGGAAGAAAATGATTGTTTTTTAAAAACTCTGAAGAGAAATATAAATACAAACATGTAAAACAAGGCAAAGTAGGTTTTAGAGCACTTGTAGAAAAGCAGCAGATCATTGGAGCAGAGGTAACATGCCTGCACTGATGTCATGCACAAGGAATATGCTTTGTAATTTATGAGTTGATTTCTAAACCTAATTTACCTTGGTACAAATATTTTAAACCTGAATTAATGTGTCATCAGATAATACTGCATGTAGAAAACTTTGCTTCAGATTTGGGGGTTTGATATTATGAATGGTAAGCAAAGCAAATGTGTAATTTGGCTCAAAGTTCTCAAGGGTCTGCTCTTTGACTGATATTACTGGTCGTTGCATGTTTCTTTTTGTTTATCAGTGTCTGGGTACTTTTTAGGAGACCAGAGAGAAGATAATATCCAAGTTTTTTTGAAAGTTTTTATTTAATAAATACAAATTTAATAGGTACAGCTTTTGGAATCTAGCGGTTCTTCCCCGCATACCTGCCCTCCCACCCCTACTCCCGTCTGGTCTCCTACTCCCTCTCCTTATCTTTATATACAGAAGATCAACTCTATACTAAGTAAAGATTTCAACAGTTTGCACCCACACAGACAAAAAGTATAAAGTACTGTTTGAAGACTAGTTTTATCATTAATTCTCATAGTACAACTCATAAAGAACAGAGGTCCTACATGGGGAGCAAGTGCACAGTGACTCCTGTTGTTGATTTAATAATTGACACTCTTATTATGACATCAGTGATCAGCTCTTGTCCTGAAGCGTTTTGAGTTCACAAACTCCAACATTATTTAGATAAGGCCATAATCAAAGTGGAAGTTCTCCCCTCCCTTCAGAGAAAGGTGCCTCCTTCTTTGATGGTCCTTTCTTTCCACTGGGATCTCACTCACAG